TATGACAACCAGCTGAAATTTATACTTCAGTAAGATATATGGAAGTTGTAGTTCCACTAAAATTTTCATTTAATTTGCTCGAATTGTGACGATTGTAGAAGGACTGAAAAGCGTGGTAACGCACTCATTCAAAAGGATCCTTTGATGAGAGTGACCCCAAAAAAGTTCATATTCGTGGCAAGTTACTCGCTCTTCTAGAAAATATTTTTATTTGTGTATGACGCCAAGACATTAGACCATTGAATCATAAAATTCTTTTTTTCAAAGTTTGTTCTCACAAACAATTATTACCAAATCATTACGGTAACGCACTCATCGATTTTTTTTCAGCTCTCTAAAAAGGCACATTTTTGTTATAGGTTTAACAACAAAACGAGATGATCTATTGATGCCAAATAGTAGTTCAATTTTCGATAGTACTACTATTATTTCCATCGTTTTTAAATGAGCACGTACTGTCCGAAATATGATTGTGGACAGTAAGGCCCTTTTTTCACCATTTTCGCACGAAAAACACTTGATTTTGGCTGGTGACTACCATTTATTCTCGTTCTTTTTCAAAATGAATGATATCAATTGATAGGGAATATACGAAAACCTATAACAAAATTTTTGAATAAATCAATTCGGTTGCTACATGATCGAGAAATCTTCTGCGCAACGTTTAGCCAAGTATGGCCCATTTTAGCAGAACAGGCTGATATATAAATGAACATTTCCTATTATCTGATGAAAAAAATAAATCGCTCTAACACATATTTACTAAAAAGAAATATATAAGAGTTGATATTTTCTACTATTATTCTACATAAAATGAGAAGTGTGGAGTCATTTAAAGAGTGTTTCTCTTTTCTATTATAACATATGATTTATGAAGGTGTAGTAAAAAAAGCTATATAGAATTCGAAAGGGAAAAAACGTTCTATCTTCTGATAAAAAGAAAAATATTCTTTCAATACTTTTCTATAGAAGAGAAATAGGATCTGACATTTGTTTCATTACTTTTGCAACATATGTTATGTACTGATTGAAAATTTTTTTTTCTTATATTTTATCTAACTATCGAAATCTTCTAATAATAACACAGTAAAACAATGGATTTACTTTAGGAAACTTTTACTTTCTATATCAATTGTAATACATATGAAAAGAGTTCGAAAATTTTCAACAAATATCATATGATTTCCAAATTCGGTGACGTTCGCCAAACATAAAAATGTTAAATATGATAATTAACAACTGATAATTTCCTTATATGGCTATGCATGATTAACTCTGAGAATGATATACATATCTCAATGGTTAAATGCATATATGTTTTAGAATTAATTACCGTCTCCTGCAAGATAAAATCGTCTACGAACAAGTTTCGAACGTTGAAAAATATGTCCGAATAATCTATATAGTAGTCTTATAAACGAAACAAAATCTGACATCTTCCTTATTAAGATAAATAGATGCATATTATAGATTTTAATCATAGTATCATTATTCAACAACTAACAACATATATTAAATAAATAAAAGTATATTAACTAAAAGTGTATCTAATGAGAGCATATTTACCAAGAACATAACTGTCTGATGCATTATTGAAAATTGAAAATATTTATTGCATTAGAACTAATTTATTTTAAACTAAATAGTCTTTAAAAACAAAAGAATTAAATCGTTACGTTTCAAAACATTAGCAAAACAATAACGTCAAATCAATTATATGACATAAATCAAATAAATATGTTGTTTGGAAAAAAACAAAAAAAAATAAGATTTCAATGGAATATAATTCAAACTATATTTCATATTTTAGTTAATTCCGAAACAAAAACTTTTTCAATCAAAATGATACTTATTTAACGATAACTAGTGCATTTTCATAAGTGACTTAGTTGATAAGTGAAATCATTATTAAAATAAAGTATGCAACTCAATTAAATAAATCAAATATTAGATAGGCTCTCTCAAATCGAATGTTCTACTTGCTGTCAGCCGACATTCTATCCAGAATGCAGTACTCAATCACAATCTAGTAATATTTGATTTTTATTTATATAAATTATATTATTGATTAATTCAATATTATCATCTTTGATAGTCATTATGTATTGAAAATAATTATTAAATAAAACTCTAAACTTACGGTATTGTGAAGAATTGATGAATGATTATGTATATAATAAATTTGTAGAATAAATGTAATTAATTGTTTAAGACGACCATCAAGTAAATAAAGACAATCATCTAAACTATTTACATTGATAGATAAATTTGTAAGAATCGAAGAAAAAAAAGTAGTTGATGGTAAATCATGAATGGACAATGGTGGATAATAGATTTTGGATGATGAAATAATAGTTAAAGATTTAAGATTTTTGAATAAATTCATTATTGATAAATAAACATTTTTAGTATATTCTTTTAATACTATTGTTTTTTCTTTTATGGAATTATAATAATCATTATTTTCAAGAATAACTTCTTTTATTTCATATTTAAAAATATATTCAAAGATTGATTCATCTAAACAAAATAAAACAAAATAAGTAAATAAACAATCAGTTCAGAAATCTTATTTTGTTTAAATGTTACGATATAGATTTTGTTTCTCATATATGAACATCAAGAATATTTACCTGTAAAATAATTTAAAGCAATATCTTGTGTAAAATTAAATAATTTCATAGAAATTAAATTTGTATAGTTACCAGCAAGAAGAATACGCTCCATTGACATTGATTCGAAAAGAAGATATTTGACATAATGATGTATATTAGGTAATATATTAATACAAAGACGATCAACTATTCGATCATCAATTGAGCGTATATGCTTATCATTGTCGGTTGATGATGTTGAAACTAAATTGAAAGTATTTGTGAAGATATCATCATATAATAGAATGTCAATTTTCTCGTTGTAGATACCCATTAATGAATATAAAACATTTATATTGTCAAGTTTTTTCAATATCATAAACAATATTTCATTGGGCAAGTCAGAAAGTTCAATTTTCGACTGACTCATATTTTAATCGAGTTAACAATTTTCTCCTCTAAACTGATATATATATATATGTCGTAGGCCAATCTCAAATTGGCCTAGACCATTCTAAGATACGAGTTTAGACTAGTCCAAATTTGAATAGAGTAACCAATTGAAATCAAACATCAATTTTTGCCCTCAAATTGATATTGAATTCCGAATTTTTTTTTTTGATGAACTACAACAAATCGATGCCATTTGCTTTTACAATAGTCCTCTTAAAATTTGAAGTCAGATTGAAAAAATGATGAGTGGTTGCATGTGTAAATAGAGATTCCATTGAAAATTGTTTGTAACAGTTCAAATCAAACTTTCATTATCAATCAATTATATACAAAGAGATCATCACCACTGTACTATTGCTATAGCCCGTCGAAAAAGTCCGTGCGTGTGACTGTTTTTTGAATAACTCGAGAACGCAAACAGCTAGAGACCTGTGCCTTTCACCAATCGAAAGAGGAGGAGTTAGGACGTCTTTTTCTCTGATAATGTATCAGACGAAATTCTTTTAAAACTGATCATTTTTGAAAAATATAGAAAAGAATGCATGAAAGTGACATACAATACACATGAAGTTTTGATTATGACCTTTGATTTAGATAGAGAAACTTCAGATATATAGTTCAA